TTCTCCCAGCTACAATATATAGTGTGACACTATGTGTGACACTTTATATTAGTGGTTTATACAGTCATCTATCGACTTCCTAAATTTTGCTTCCATAATGCCAAATCATCATGATGTTTTCATTCTCCAAAAACATCTTCTTATAACATAAACTATTTCCGTGGGGAAGTTTCCCCTTTCCTGTGTTTACTTCTGTTTTGCAAATTGGTCATACCACCCTTTCTTCATGTTGCATTATATGATCATAGCAGTATTTATTTCATCAGGACTATTTCCATGAACATTTAAGAAACAATTCACTCATTTTAAGAAAACAGAAGTGAGAACTTAGATTTTTTTTAATTTTGAAATTCTTTAAAAATGTTTAGTGTTTCTTGGTGTGACCCAAAATGATTTTAAATAATTGCAAATTGCTCAAATCACCAGCATCTTCACTACATGAGCAACAACAGCAGAAGTTAATTAAGGGAGTATATTGGATAGATATTAAAGAATGTCAAGTCAGGAGTCTGGCATTTACCCAATTTTGCATCTCTTGTAAAATCTGCCCTAGCACCTTATATACCAGGAGTGCTTAGTAAAGGTCTATTGAATTAATCCACTATCTCCTCATTTCCTGCCACACGCTTTGACTTCTATTCAGTTGCATTCCACACTAAATGATGAATCTGTGCACGTACAGTCATGAAAACCGCTTCAGATGGGTGTAAGAGCATTCCAATGGCGGTAACAACTGAAAGGGATCCACACGCAGCCTTCAGTGACTGGGTTCTGCCTCCTGGGCGAAACTCCAAATATATAAGCCATCGGGAGCTCCCAGTAGACACAGGCTCATTCTGGCCTCTCTGACTTTGTGTATTTGGTCATCGTGTTCTAGAATGCTTTCCCCACCCTTCAATCTCCACATTCACCTGGGAAAATCCATCCTTTCCGACTTAGTTTGGGGGCACACTTGGCCTAGAGAGGCTTCTGCAAAGATCTCTGAGAATTCAGGCCATACCAATGAGAATCAAGGTTAGGGATTCCACTTTTATGCTCCTATCATATCCTGGACATAGTCTATCATGTCTTTTACCAGCTTACTTCATAATATTCTATTTATATGTCTGCTTCTCCTGTTAGCCTAAAAATTTGGTGATAGTACAATGCATCTTATACTTTTTGGTATTCCTGGGAACTAACTTGCTTCCAAATTCATAAATCCTAACTTATGAATGAATAGATGGAGAAAGGAAGGGAGGGAGGGATCTAAATAGTGAAGAAATCACTCTGTGGTTGATAATTTTAGCAGCAATGTGAAAGATGGAGGGGCACCTGGGTGGCTCAGTGGGTTAAGCGTCTGCTTTCTGCTCGGGTCATGATCCCATGGTCCTGGGATCAGGCCCCACATCAAGTTCCCTGATCGGCAGGGAGCCTGCTGCCCCCCCTCCCCATGTGCTCTTTCTCTCTCTGTCAAATAAATAAGTAAAATCTTTATATATATAAAAGATGGAAGTATTTTTCAGGACTCTCTCATCTTAAGTGATGGCAACGTGACTCAGATTCGCTTCCTAAGGAAAGAAAATCAACCACTGTATCACAATGAAATTCCATGGATTAGGTGAGGCAAAGCTAGATTCAGGTGCTCCAATAATGTCCTAAATAACCCGAGGTCAGTGAGGGCCCATGCCTTCCTCTGTGGCAGCTCCACTCTCAGGCAGACTCCCCCAAGCAGTGGCAAGAATCCAAATTTCAATCGTACCAATTTAGCCATCCCAGCAAGAAGCATGAGCCTCTCGATTTCCTTTCTTCCACCACAACTGGCATCTTCTCTGACTCGACCAATCTTAAATCCGTGGCTCCGCTCTGAACCCATACTGGCCGGGGCGAGGAGACAAACAGGAAGGAGGGACGCGCACTGCCGGAGGGTCACAAACTCCACTCGGGAGCTCGAAAGCCAAGTCATCTCACCTTAATCATGCGGACTGATAAGGGCAAGGGTGAGGATTCCTGAGGGAAAACCAGCGTTCCGTTTGAAGGAGGAGTGGGTACCAGACAGGTAGAAACAGCAGCTGTAGTGGAGATTGGAAGGGGAGGTTAGCACAGATGTGCAACTGAGGGCCCTTAGACAAGGTGATAGCTGATCTCATTAGCGACAAGCTCCCTTCAGAGCAGAACCATTATACGACAAACTAAAACTGTTGGGAAATGGGAGGGAGAGGGTGGCAAATCTGCCAGCTCAGCTTCCAAGCAAGTCAGGATAAAGCAGAGCCACAACACTCATTCTTTTGGGTCGATTAACAAGACCGCTGCTGAGGGCAGAAGAGCGACACCAGCTTTTGCAAGCATATTGCAATGTATTTGTCAAATCGGAAAGCTACAGTAACAATTATAGGGTAAAATGGAATTTAGTAAACTGAATGTATATTTTAGAGATAACCTCATTGGGTTAGTGACAGCATGGACTTAGAGCTTGCACATATAAAAGTAGCATTCAGCATATCTTAAAACAAGAAGTGATTTGTTTATCGTGGCGGGCTTTATAACACTGGTGCTCTGAAAATTTTCTGAAACTTAGTAGGGGGTGAATTAAATGAATTAAATAATGGAAAGTGGTACATTATGAAAGGAAAAAAATATCTTTCTACTTACTTCCTGAATGCCAATAATTCTGATTTAAACAAGTCTTAGGAGTCACACTGTAGATAATTCCACAGATAATGAGTTACTTCTTGAATGTCTCATCCTTTTGGCTGCTACTATATGCAAATTGAAATTCTACTCTTCCTGTGTGTTTGCTAACGTCAATACTTTGGGTTGGGCCCGGGAATCATTACAGCTAATACTTTCTATTGTTTGGGTATCCAGCTGCTAATGCCCAAGGCATAAGACAGTCATAACTGAAACGTTTTCCCATAAATGGATTGGGGAGAATTTTTATTCTTTTTCCCATTTTACATAGGAAACTAAAATTTCAAACACTAGATTTTAAAAATCTGTTCTAAGAGCTTGAAAGAATGTAGATGTACCTTCCTTTCATAATTCCTGATGCTGAAAATTTTAAAAGACAAATTGAAAGATGTTTTCCCCCTGTATACATAAGGATTCACCACAGGTAAGTTCCTTCATCAGTTCAAGCTGCTAAAACAAAATACCATACACCGGCTGGCTTAAATAATAAATATTGATTTCTCATTGTTCTGGAGGCTGGGAAGTCTAAGATCAAGATCAGCAGATTCAATATCTGGGGAGAACCCTCTTCTTGTCTTGCAGATCATCTTGCTGTACCCTCACAAGACAGAGAGAGAGAGAGAGACAGATCGATCAAGCTATCTGGGTGTCTCCTCTTATAAAAGCATTTAATTCCATCCTAAGACTCCCACCCCCAGAACCCCATATAGACTTCATTACAGCCTAGAGTCTCCACTCCTAATACATCATCACAAGGTATAGGGCTTCAACACTGGAATTTGTGGAGGGCATATTTAGTCCATTACAGGAAGGGTTTAAAACACAACTTCTATTTTAACAAGTATTTATAGAACGCAATATGTGCTGATGTTTTTGCAAATGTTAACACATTTAATACTCGTAACAACCCTGAGAGGCAGGCTTTAATTACTTGTTCTCCTTTACAGAGGAAACCCAGGAGCCGAGAGAGTAGATAAATTGCCCACAATCAGAGGATCACAGGGTAAGAAACGGTGTAGCTGAGGTTCTAGCCTTCAGGATTATACCACACTGTCCCTGCTTTGGAGGCAGACCAGCTCCCTCCGCCCCCAGCCCTTCCCACTAGCACCACCAGAATATCTTCCACATCTGTGAGGTCTGGGCTACCCTGGAGAGTCTACTGAAGCTATCCACTTTAATCCAAAAAGAGATATCAAAACTGATGCTGAAAAGTGCATTGCCCCCGTGAGAAGACCTCAGCTACAAAGACTGAAAAGTTTTATTGGCATTCTCAGAAAACTAAAGTAGCTGGCAGTTGTTTCCCTAGGCGATCAAATTCAGGAGCCAGATCAATTCAGATGGCCCCGCGGTGGAACAACCTAGTAACCTAGTATTTACATACTCGGAAACCTGTCTGTTGGCGACTCAGAGGAGTAAAGTGGGAGTTCGCTAGGTCCTGGCTATCTGGTGTCCATAATCCTTCTGACAGGACTAGAACAGGGGACCTCCCAGTCCCAGCCCTCACTGCTCCCGAATGCCTGCCCCGAACGGAAACACAGGCTCCTAGACAACCGGCGCGGGGCTCCAGGAGTTGCTAGAGTGTGGGAAGTCCCAGAATTCCGAGGAGAGGAAACACGGCAGGTTACCAACTGCATCCTCAAACAAACCCGACTCGGCTCGGTCCCCTGCAGCCGTGTCCCGCTGCGCAAAGCACGGGACTAAGTGTGATGTATCTGCACTGATAACACACCGAAGAAGACGAACCTTCTTACATGTCATCGGAGATGACACTTTCAGAGCTTTTATCCCGGAGACAATACCATCTGCAAAACCCAGTTTAGAGTGAGAGGATGTATAGGTAAGAGAGGTTGCCATTCCCGCCTCAACTCTTCCAACTGCAACAGCTTCAGTGTCTGTGAGAGTTAATTCTCTCCCCTGAAGGATCAAACTGAAGGGTCCGACCAAACCTGCCCCGCGCCCCGGGACCGCTGGGCGCCCACGCGCCCCCCCCCGCAGGGACAGCAGCAGCGCGACGGCCACTCCCGCCCCCTTTGGGGATTTCGGCGGAAAGAGGACGTCCCCGACTCGCAAGGGACACGCGGGAGGCCGGGCAGGCGGGTGGCCGGGCGGGTCTCCCTCCGCCCCGGGGCGGGGCCGCCACGACCTTTCCGACCCCGGAGCGACCTGCGCTGCCGGGAATTTCCCTGGCCCCGGGCTTGCTCACTTCCCCGCGCCCACCGGGGATAAAAGCGGTTCTCCCGACTCCGGGAGCCACAGAGTCCGCTCGGCCGGCGCTCGCTCCCGCTCTGCAGCCGCCCGCTCCGCCGCCCCGACTCTCCGAGCTGAGCCCCATGGCCCGCGCCGCCGCCGCCCCCCCGCGCTCTCCGGCTCCTCGGCGCCGCGCTGCTGCTGCTGCTGCTGCTCCCCGCCGGCCGCCGCGCCGCAGGTGACACTCGGCGGCCGCAGCCCCGGGGCGGGTCGGGGGGCGGGGGTCGGGGGTCGGGGGACGCCCTCCCGGGACGGCGCGCTCACCCCGTGCGTTCTCCCCGCAGGGGCGCCCGTGGCCGCCGAGCTGCGCTGCCAGTGCCTGCAGACCGTGCAGGGGATTCACCTCAAGAATATCCAGAACGTCGTGGTGACACCCTCGGGCCCCCACTGCGAGCAGACGGAAGTCATGTAAGTGACCCCCCGCGCCGCTGAGCCCCGGCCGCCCCCCTGCCCCGCTGCGCCCGCCCGGCCGCCCGGCCGCACCCCCGCTAACGCGGACTCTGCCTTCTCTCCGCAGAGCCACTCTCAAGAATGGGCAGGAGGTTTGTCTCAACCCCGAAGCCCCCCTGGTCAGGAGACTCATCAACAAGATGCTGAACAAGTGAGTTGTGCCTTTTACTCACACGTGGGACGAGACCCATAGGTCACCACTCCTGGCAAGTGCCCCAGGGAGTTTTTATCAAGGGTTTAGCTGAAGGACTGAAAATCGTTACTATTTCACAATTAAACCTGCTGGTAAGATCATTGATTTGCTCTGGTGCCAGGAGGATATTTCCAATGCCCCGAGTCCCCATGCAGATGAGTGTGGGTAAACGTGTCTTCCTAAAAGACAAAGTGGATTTGGCCAATGATGCTAAAATGTTTCCTGCCCATTAAGGAACAAGCAGTATTTATCTCCATCCCTGATGGGTTTCAGCCCTGAGAAGCGGCACCCCTGGTTTTGGGCAACATGGACCTCTGCAGCTTAGCTGTGGAGAGCAAGGACTCTGAGACCTCCCTAAACTCAAATCCAGGATTCTTATGAAAGTTTCCTAATCCCTTTGAGGTTCAATAAAATGGTATAGGTAATAATAGCTATTTCATGGGTTGTATGAGGTTTAAGTGAGGTCTTGCATGTAAAATTTTAACCCAGTGTCACAGTGAGTACTATGTTTTAGTTCTTTCAAGGCAATAATAGAGGTCAGTCCACAGCCCTGCCCATCCACAATAAAGAGCAAGTCTCTGTTGTGCAGAGCAGTGGGTACTGTTGGATCTTGTCTGGGTGCAGGGCTGGGCCAGGGTCTACATACAGAAATCCCTCCAACCTCAGGCGCCAGTGTGAGAGAAGAGCAGGGTTCCTTAGCACCTGTAACAGTAACCCCTCTTTCATCATAGGGACAGCGCCAACTGACCCCAAGACAAGTAAGAAGCTTGCTGGTGGCGGTTCCTGAAAAGCCCTTATAGGAACTGAAAAGGAAGAAGAGAACAACTGCCTTCTACAGACATCTAGAAAGGCCTTAGCGTGTTTGACTATGATGAGTTCTATTTATTTATGTTTGTATTTATTTATTTTTCAAAGCTCATATTTAATATTTTATATGTTAGTATTTAAAGATGTGGATGTGTTTAATCAGACATAACTCAGTACTGATTGTTATTTAATCTGAAGATGATGGGTTTTAAATGCGTTGTGAAACCAGTGTTTCCAGGGAAATCATCAAGTGCCATCACATATTGATGGGGTGGGTGGGGAGGGAAGAAGGGAGAGGAAGCAATTAAACAGTGTGTACAGATCTATTTTTGTACTTGTTTAAAAGAATGCCGGTTATTATTTATTGAAACTGTTTCACGTTACGTGGTCAACATTTTTATGTTGAAGTTTCCCTTGGACATTTTATGTCTAGTTTGTAGGGCATAATGCCTTGTTTAATGTTCATTATGCAGTGTTGCTCTGTCTTGGAACAGAGAAGTTAAAACTACTGTCACGTTTTTACAAATTATATGACAATAAAGTTTTGCAAAAGTTAACACGCCTGGGTTTTGTTTTATTCTTCTCCATCTTTGGTTCTACTGGGTGCCCAAGGTGTTATACAGTTAGATTGTAGGTCACACCTAACTTTATGCCTGCTACTAGTTTTCATTTTCCTTACCTTTCTCTTAAGTGATATTTGACATACTACTCTCCCCAAGCACCTTGAGAATTCTAGTTGTACACAAAACATTGCTGGTTTTCACGCTGTTTCAATATTCAAGGTTAGATCTTTATAAACTTCTGGATTTTTACAAATATTGTAACAAGAGCTCCTATTAAAGGCTTTGAGTGAGTAGATTTTCAAACAATTATGCAATTCTTTCCCTTTTGATGAGGCTGGGACCAAAAGGTGGAAAAGTGGACTGTTCCTAATAACTTGAAAAATTTGTATTATTTAATAAGGACAGTGATCTATGCTAATACTTACTAAAGCAAGAAGAAGAAGGAGGAAGAGGAGGGGGAAGGGGAAGGGAAGAAGGAGGAGGAGGATCTATGGAAATAAGCACATGCTGTAAACTAAAATACATAACAAAAATAGCAAAGGATAAGTAGGAAGAGAAATGGATTTAGAATATAATACATGATGTGTTATGGTGAGTGCTATGAAGTGTGTAAACCTGGCGATTCACAGACCTGTGCCCCTGGGGCTAATAATACATTATATGTTAATAAAAAATTTAAAAAAATTTAAAAAAGAATATAATACATGTTTTCAATTGTTGGAGAAAGTGTTAATTGAAAAAAAATTGTAATGTGACAGGAATATAGATTGCAATTTTTAGGCAATCACTAAAACGGAAATGAAAATTTTGGACTTATAAATCTGAAAAGGAGATAAAATGGAATAAAAGAAAATACCTGAATAATACAAAAGAAATTAAGGAATAAAGAAAAGAAATGGCAGATGGGATGGGGGGAAGAAGGGAAAAATCTTTCTTACAGAAGAATGCCTAATAAAACAAATCTTTCTCCTGAAGCTGAGTTTTAATTCCCCTCCCCACATGGGTATGGGCTGGGCTTTTTGTTTCTTCCAAAGAAGAGATGAAAAAAAGAGGAAAATAACATTTTCCATAATGGAAACATAATGGAGAATCTGGCAGATCCTACTTTAACCAAGTGATGAAGGTTATTATGACCATTGTGTCGTGTGAATATTAGGAACACCCCAACATGATATGGTAAGAAGAGCACTTCGTCTCCATCATATTCTTCCCCAAGACACATAAGCCCAGTATGGTCTTGAGAAAATGATCATGAAAATTCAATCAGAAACATTCTACAGAATACTTAACAAGTATTCCTCAGATCTGTCCAGGTCATGAAAATCAAAGCAATAATGAAATTCCGTCACAGATTAGAGGAGACAGAGAAGACATGCTGACTAAATCCAACATGGGGCTTGAACTAATGACCTTGAGATCAAGACCTGAGCTGAGATCAAGAGTCAGACACTTAACCAACTGACCCACCCAGATGCCCCAAAGATTGACTTTTTTTATGCAAAGATTGTATAAATAAGGCCAAAAAAAACTATGCTTCTTAAAAGAGACACATTTTAAATATTGGGACCCAGGTAGCTTGAAATTAAAAGAACTGAAAGTGTTATATCATGCTGAAACTAACTGAAAGAAACCTAGTGTGGATATCCTGATGCATTATTTGTTAGTGTTACTGTATTATTAATATAAAATTTTAATACATAAGTTAATAATTGCTACATTAATTAAGGCTTACTTATATTAAGACTTAAGGAAAGAAGAAGACTTAGAAATTAATAAAAAGACTGATTCAAAATAAAAAGGATGTACTTCTACAAGAGTCAAACAATTCTAAAATTCCGTGAACTGAATATTTATCAAAATATATTAAGAGAGGGGCGCCTGGGTGGCTCAGTGGGTTAAAGCCTCTGCCTTCGGCTCAGGTCATGATCCCAGGGTCCTGGGATCCAGCCCCCGCATCATCGCATCATCGGGCTTTCTGCTCAGCGGGGAGCCTGCTTCCCTCCCCCCCCCCCGCCCCCGCCTGCCTCTCTGCCTATTTGTGATCTCTGTCTGACTTGTGATCTCTGTGAAATAAATAAATAAAATATTTAAAATATATATACATACATGTATGTATATATATATAAAGAGAGAAACTAGAAGGAGCAATGCACAAAACCATAACCACAGTTAAAGAGTCTAAAAAGCCTCTTTCAGTACTTAATAGGCACAGCAGGAAAGAATCAGTAACAGTATAGATGGGTAAAGCAGCAGGATCCACCAATCTGACCAGAGTGTTGGTAATACAGACACCGCACACAACTGCATAAATCATACATATTTTTCAACAAACGAGGAACAGCTTACAAAAGAGACCACGTGTGTGCCATAAAAAATGTATTAACACATTTCAAAGTGTTGAAATGTCCCAGACGATATTCTTTGATCTTCAAGTTTTTTATGATTTGTCACATTCCCCGCTGACTATGTATCCACGCATATGCATGATGTGTTTGCTGTGGTTTCTAGTTCATCTCTTAACTTCCCAAATTTCACTTCCATAATACAGGAAGCATCAAAACACTGTCATCATGCTGTTTTCATGCCTGTCATAGCCAAATATGATAAACAATATTTCCATGAAGACATTTCCTCATTTTCTGTATTTACTTCTTGACCTATCCTTCTGTAACCTTGGAATTTCTGTATTTCTTTGATTTGTGTCATATGGAATGTAATTTGATAACTCATTACTACTGCCACAAAAAAAACTTTTTTTAAATCTTAAGAAAATGGATTGCCTGGGTGGCTCAGTAGATTGTGTCCAACTCTTGTTTTCAGCTCAGGTCAGGTCATGGTCTCATGAGATTGAGCTCTGCATCAGGCTCCGTGCTCAGTAGGGAGTCTGCTTGAGATTCTCTCCCTCTCCCTCTGCCCCTCTTCTCTCTCTCTCTTTAGAATAAACAAAAAAACTTAAGAAAATGGAAATACAAAGTTTACGTTGAAATCTACTTCATAATAGATTGAATAATGCCCAAATCTAATATACTAGATGGTTGTCAGAGTTAATTGAAATGAACTCAAGTATTTCTAGATGGTTAAAATCATCAGAATGGCCTTACCATGGGAACAGAAGGCAAGACTAGCTGTGTTGCAGAAGAAAGTATGCAGGTTAGTATTGAAGAAGAACTTCACATTTGGAGTTCCAGTTTTAACCACTATACGTCTTTTGCGTAACTGACCACAGTCCCTTGTATCTTGCATATACCTAGTAAATGTCTTTTAATTCAATATCTACCACCCACTCATTTTTGTGTACATATCCTGAATCTTAGGTTATATCCCACCCACCCTATGGTAGATAGCCAATAAAGGTCATAGTGTGGTCTGTGCAGCAGGGCCATGGAAACACCTTGAGATGCCTACAGAGGTCTCCCAGTTAAAATACCATTCATACTGGATCCTGACGGACAAACAGGGTCCTACTAGCACATGGGTCTCCAGTGTCAGAGGCCTGCCACCTCCTTCTGCCTCAGTCTCTTCTCACAGAGTGAGTTCCAGCTTGCTGTTCCTAGGACTCACCATGTTCTACCCCACTGCTATGCCTCTGCTCATTTGGCCCTCTCCTCAATGTTTTCTGCCCATCGGTGTTGCATGTTTACCTGGAAAACTCCTCATCCTTAAGAGTCACGTAAATGACCACCTTTTTCAGGAAAACTTCTCTGACAAGTTTCATAACCCCCCTCTGTAAGAGTTCGGTTGGGTTACGTGCTCCTCCTCACTTCTAACACCTTGGGAATAGTCTACTCTGGTAATTTCAGGCCTTTCTAAAATCTATTTGTACGTTCATTTTCCCTATTGGATCGAGAGTCAGAGGACAGCAGAGTCTTATTCCTCTGGATATTCCTGGCCAAACTTTATTCTCACCTTATACATACTCAGTAAATGATCAATGACAGTGTTGAGACAAAGAGAGAGAGGAATTCAATTGGAGTTGAACTGCCTTTCTGGTTAGAAAGGTAATTAACAGTAAGTGGAATTGGTAGCAAAACCCAACTCAATATGGCTTTGTGAAAAGGCAAATCATTCGACTTATAAAAGTAAAAGACTGATAAGTACATGAGGTAACACTGGATTTTGCAGTTCAAAATTTCTTTAGTCATTAGTCTCACTCCAGATCAGGATCCTTTTCTCTGTGCTCACTTTACAAAGCTCTCCTCAAGCCCTAGCGAGGTTCCAAGTTTCTGTTCTTGTGGTTATAATCCCGTAAGGAAACAAAGGCTTGTTTTTCCAACCATTTCCTGGTAAAAAAGATTCCAGGAAATTTCTCTGACCTGGTCAGTCTTAGGTCACTTGCCCATCCCCGTACTTATCAGAACTCGGCTAGGGGTTAGACCCAGACCAGTACTAGTTTGGGTCATCAGCCCACTCCTGGGGCTTTAGAGCAGGGTCATTCTACCTGAACTATCCAGACTGGAAGGAAGAAAGAAAGGATGGTCCCCAAAAGAAAACCAAGGTTCTGCAACCAGAAGATGGGGGAAGCTCAAGCCAGGTAGAAATGACCAATGTACTAGAGACTGGACCAGGTTTAGGGCATTAACCCTGGACGAAATGCTCTGGACTGAAGAAGTGGGTGGATTGAGGGACTGAATGTCACATTCAGACATCTCCATTCTTCTTCCCTCAGAGCCACAGTCATTCTACCTGAAGCAGCTGTTGCAATCCAATGGGCGTGGCAGTTGTGACCGTCATGACTTCTGAGGCCCCTGTGAAGACAGCCACTCCCCAGAGTGCAGTCCTGATGCTCCATCATCTCAGCAGGCGGCCCCAAACCTGGATCATAAAGGCAGATGCTTTGGATTGGCTCTGGAAAGCATTAGAACAATATGTTTTTGGTTTTTTTGTGTTTTGTGTTTTGTGTTTTTTGTTTTGTTTTGCCCAGAACTTTATTCTCTTTATTTTATTTTTATTTTTAAAGATTTTTATTTATTTCACAGACAGATCA